AGTTGTGTTACTGTCACTCATTATTTACCCTCCGCTTTCATCAGGATTTATAATGTTTGCGCCCTGCAGTGGGAGAGGCAGGGTCGCCTCTGATCTCTCACAGCCCATGGATTTGTGCACTGTATCAAGTGACCTTTGTAAATAGGCTGCTCATTCTCCCAGAAATACAATTAGGGGGGGGAAAAAAGAAGGAAAATTTGATCTTTTGCATCTTAGTCTCTCGTTCTTGTTGGATCCTGTCTCCCTGTAGTGGGGGCGGCAGAGTGGGGAGAGCAGGCCGGGTGTGGGTCTGTAAGTATGAGTTCCAGGAAGGAGGGAGCTGAGTGGCATGGTGTGAGGTGGGGGGTAAACTGAGGTCAACTGAGGTCAGGTGTGTGGGTGTGAGCAGTGCAGTGTAGAGGGGTGTGTGGTGCAGTGTAGAGGGGTGTGTGTGGGTGTGTGTAGGCAGTGCAGTATAGAGGGGGGTTTGTGTGTGGAAAGCAGAGGAATGCAAGGGTTGTGGGACCCTGTGCAGGAGGAACCATCAGGGCTGTGTGTGCAGAGTAATGTAGGGGCCCCAAGGGGTGCAATGCAGGAGCTGTGTGTGCGTGCAGAGCCAAGCAGGGGTTGTATGTTTGTGTGGAGGAGGTTGCAATACATGGGCTGGGTGTGTGTCTGTTGCAATGCAGGGGCCCTGTGTGTGTATATATATGTTTGTATACAAAACACTGCAGGGGCTGTGTGGGTGTATGTTTGTATACAAAGCAAAGCAGGGGTTGTGTGTGTGTGTATACAAAGCACTGCAGGGGCTGTGTGTGTGTGTATGTTTGTATACAAAGCACTGCAGGGGTTGTGTGTGTGTGTGTATACAAAGCACTGCAGGGGCTCTGTGTGTGTATGTTTGTATACAAAGCAATGCAGGGGCTCTGTGTGTGTTTGTATACAAAGCAATGCAGGGGCTCTGTGTGTGTATGTTTGTATACAAAGCAATGCAGGGGTTGTGTGTGTGTATGTTTGTATACAAAGCAATGCAGGGGCTCTGTGT